GTGATGTGGTTCATGGGGTCACGAAGAGTCGGACACGACTTAACGACTGAACAACAACAAGGAGGGTACACTAGTTACTAAAAGCAAAGGTTCACAGATTTTTGCCACAAACAAATATGTAGCTTTGGATCATTTTCCTCAATAAAATAAATGAACAAATATGATGTTTCTGACTCATTTGTTTAATTGGGGTCTCTTTATCTAGTTTTAGGACTTGTGTGGAGAACAGATCATGTTTTAGGTCATATTCAAACAGGTTTGCAAACTTTTAAGCACCACTGAGTCTTGTCTATCTGCCTATCTCTATGTACACACATACACCAAAAAGAGCTCAGTGTCATGAATGAAGATCATTCTGTACTAAATTGTGAATATACATTTGGGAAGAAGTGAATTTATATCTAGAATTAGCCAGTAGCAGAGCTGAACTTTGAGCCCAACTTTACTTCCAATTTTCCTTGAGACTGGGGATTTTGTAAAATGCAATAATCATTTGGAATTTTTGTTAGGTATCCTTTTAAAAAGTTTTGAACTTCAGCTCCTCTGAGAATACCAAAGAACCATTAATTGTGCCAGTTGTTGCTCTGAGCTGTGAGAGGACTGAAAGCGAAGAAACTCCAAACTGAATCATTCTCTTACCTCCCCCTTTCAATAGATCTGTCCTTAATAGAATGAGTTTCAAAGTGAGTTTTTTATAAGTTAAGAAGTCAAATTTAGTACCTCCTTGTTTTCTGGAATGTAGACCCATTTATATTTTGTTGAAATATTATATATTTTGACCATTAAATATATAAAAAGCTTAAGTACAAACTTTAGCAAGCATTATGATTTTCAGTACATCAATTCTGAATGTTGCTGTCAAATATGATTTAGACAATTTCTTTGCCAGTCTAACGGTATAACATTTCTACTGTCAACCCATAACATTCTTTACAGCCATCCTGGTGTGTCCAGTCTTTCCTCTTCAGCTTGTGTCAAGAAGTAAATCGAGTTGGAGGCCACACTCTTCCCAAGGTCATCTTGCAAGAACTGCTGAAGGCTTGTATGACTGAAGTACTAGCTGGCTATGAAAAATTATCAGAAGGGAAACGGGAGAAGGTATGTTGTTGGGGCTTGTGGGCACATTGTTGGATTAGATTAATTTTTTAATTCCAGCTACAATTTTTTTTAAAAAAGATTGAAAGTGTTCTACCTGAAATACAGTTATTTTGGCCAGGTCAGAAAGCTCCTTGTCCCTCAGTCTCCCAATGTTCCTTTTATCTTGCTCACCCAACAGTTGTAAACTCAAATATGAGAGGCTTTAATTCATAATACATGTAGAAAGAAAACCTCTTGAGTACTGTTCAGATAAACATAGTATTTATCTCTTGCAACATGGGTTAAGAAAATGTAGGGCAAATAACTGATCTCTATAGAGTGATCCATTGTCTGCCATTCATTTTCACCTGTTAGAGCTTTTCCAGACTAATGAATTGTAATGGCTTATGACAGGCAATGGCCAAAAGTTTATTACACGTGGAGCACATTGACTTTATTTTATATCCCACCTTTATTTCCTAGAAGTCATAATACTGTAAACAGGGTTCCCAGGAATGAACTACTTCTGAGCCTACTTGTTCAGAATGTTTGTTGAGGTACATGCTTTCAGATCATGCACTGGGATTAAATTGTTAGGATCAAATGAGACAGGAAATTTAAATAAATAATAAACATGCAACACCCTGCCCCTTATTTTTTTTTAATCAGTGCAAAATAATATGTATCTGGGTTTCTCCTTTTCAAAAGATACATCTTATAGGGATTCTTCCCTGTGTGATCTGTAGTTGTGTTATGAGACAGGATAATCATAAAAATAATTAGTAATAATAATTATAATAATAATTAGCTCAGTGTTGTGGTGTTTAAGAGAAAAAATGAATATACAATAGTTGTTTCCTTTAGAATTTTTTTTTAAACCATAAGGTTGGCCTAATAAGATTGTTATGAATTACTGTGACTATCAAACTATTTATCTAGGTTGAGTAGATATACTTGACAGCTCATTGTAAAAGATAAAATAAATCACCTATAATGTAAAAAAGATAGATTGGGTCCAACCCAGGTTAGAGTAGCAATTTAAAAAATTGTTCTGAGAAATTGTCAGCTGATTATTTTAGTAGCCACTATTACTGATACAAGTATTTTAATATTTTGCTTGTAGTTATCTTACTAGTATGAGAGGTTTAAATGACTAGCTGCTGAACCTATTCAGATATGACTCTCGGGGCACTTCAGATGCAGGATGCAGCCAGGAGATGCATGAGTTCTCAACTAGATGGCTGCTGTGAATGTTGAAGAACTTTTCCCTTCAAAAATGTGAAAAGAACTAATGATAAATCAGACCTTTGTTAATGAGTATATAGACTTTTTTTTCTGATATTCATATACAGAAAGAAGGGAAGCTACCAATTACTCAGAACAGGGCTTTGCAACTGCTGTATGATCTTCGGTATCTTAATATAGTCCTGACAACTAAAAATGAAGATATGAAAAGCAGCAGAAACAAGCATGATGCAAGTTAAGTATACTGTAAAGGATTATGCTTATAAATTTATCCTGTCCTATTCTTATGCATCCAAGAATGTTGCTATATCCACCTTATTTTGAGACATAATCATATTTTGAAATATATACATACATATACAGGGCTTCAAGCACTGCTAGAAGAATCTAAAATCTGTTGGTTGAGAAACTGAACCTTTTTAAAAGAACATTTTTTATTTTTGTCCACATAGACTGTAGTTTCCCAGGTAGCCAGCATTCGAGAACTGATTATTATACAACAGGCCAGAATGGGCAGTGCTTCTTCCTGATATTTGACAATCTGAACAGGAATTTAAGAAAATTAATTTGGCTGAAAGTTGACCAAGTTAAAAAAAAAAAAAAAAAAAGCTCACCATGCTGTAGTGTTCTAGAAAAATGAAAGAGTCATGTGTAATTTCAAGGAAAAACTACATCAAGGCAGCTTATTGAATGTATCTGAAACATTTTTAATACCTCTGTCTTTGGCTAATAGATGATCAGTTCAATGTGGTTGGAAACTATAACTTTACATATTTAAACTTCTGTCTGCATTAAGAGAGTGAGCAGTGTTTGATTATCTTAGTTTAAGATACAATATTTAACATTCCATTTCATATTAGTTGGAAATCGTTTGATTTCCTTAACTTTGTATTTCTTGTGTTTTGAATTCCTTTTTCCCTTATCTGAAAAAATTAACTTCTTTGCATAGGACTGCCAGAGCATTTCCCTACCCAACAGGAGCGATCTTTCATAATTGTAAATGAGATAATTTCTCTGTTTCAGGATTGAGAAACAGATTGATGCTCTTGAGAGCTATATAGATCCCTTCGATTTGGATGTCTTTACTCCTCACTTAAATAGCAACCTTAATCATCTGGTACAACGAACCTCTGTAAGTTCAAAAGGAGAGAATATAAATGGTTCCAAGTAGGTTTTATGGTCTTAGATCATCTAAATCTATTTATATTGGTTGGAAGAATATAATAGTAATTTTCCAAGTAGGAAGTGATAATACTAATTAAACAACCATTAAAGCCTATAAACTGTGTAATGCACTTTTTTACTATATATGATTTAAGTAACCAAATCATGTATTAAAAATGAAGAATGAGATAGTAGTACAGGTAATCCTCGAGTTACAATGGCAATTGGAACTGGAATTTCCATAGCTAAGCGATGCAGTTGTAAAGCACAACATCACGTGACTGAATTGCTTAACAACGGTAATTCCTGCAGTCCCCGTTCCTGTCATTTAGTGAGGACTGTGTGCCATTAAGCAAGCATCTCCTCATAACTTCCTGCTGGCTTTCAACCACCAAAGTCAATGGGAAAGCCAGCAGGAAGTTGCAAGTCCCAGGTTGGCAGGCAGGTAAGTGGCTGCTGCTGGGTGAGAGGGGTGTGTGAGTAGCCAGGGAGGGCGTGCAAGTGGCCAGGGAGGCACAGCGCAAGCGCAGTGAGGCTCAGGGAGGGTGCCTGAGAGTGTGTGGGTGGCCAGCGAGATGCAAGCGCAGAGGGGCTGGGGGAAGGTGTGTGGGTGGGGGAGACTTACTTGAGCAACTTGCGACTTTCCCTGCCAGCTTCCTCACTGACTTTGCTTGTGAGAAGCTGGCAGGGAAGGTTGCAAATTGCGATCACATGACCAGGGGACACTGCAATCAACCTAAGTGAGTCAGTTGCCAAGCGCCCAGATTGCAGTCACGTGACCGTGGGGTGCTGGGACAGCTGGAACTTCGAGGACTGGTCATAACCACTTGTTCAACGTCGTCATAACTTTGAATAGTCGCTGAATGAGTGGTCATTAACCAAGGACTACCTGTATAACAAAGGGCGTATTATGATCACCTTTTGATTAAACAGTGCAAAGTTTTTCAGTTACCTATATGTTCTCATTAGAAATACTATCTTCCCTGAATAGCCATAAGCAAGGAAACCCCACGAGGCTGTATGGATTTAGTCTGGGAAGATCATAGGTAACAGTCTTTGGAAGCTCAAGTTTGTGTCACACAGCTTAAGCTGGTAACACAAGTGGGAGGAGAGATACTCTAGCTTTAATCAAGCAATGATAGGTAACAATTATAGCACATTCTTTAAGCTATGTGTATTCCTTGTGCTGCTTTTTAATTTAATATGACTCTTTATAGTTGAATGACAGCCAGTTTGGTGTAGTGATTAAGGCACCAGGCTAGAAACTGGGAGACTCTGAGTTCTAGTGCTGCCTGGGCACAAAACCACCTGGGTGACCTTGAGCCAGTCACTTTCTCTCAACCCTAGGAAGGAGGCAATGGCAAACTACTTCTAAAAAACTTTGCCAAGAAAACTGCAGGCAAGAAAAGTCCAGGCAGTCTCCAAGAATCAGACATGATTGAACGGATTTTAAAAAAAAAGTTGAATGAACATTTTATTGTTGAGTGTTCTTCTGTTAAGGCAAGACAGTTCTCTCTTTTCTGTGCTCTAGGTCCTGTTTGGCTTATTGACAGGAACAGAGAATCAGTATACTAGCAGAAGCAGTGCTTTAACTTCTCAAAAACTACATAACATCCTACCTCTAACATCTAGTCAGATCCGGTAAGTGACTCAGACCTATAGATAATAAAAACATTTTCTATGAAAACAAAGCATCCAAAAATGGAAAGCAATTTAACTCTCTTTTTCTTTTAAGATTTGGACTGCTGCCTCTCAGCACATCAAGTTCTCACAAGGCTAAACCTGTTCTGAGAAATACTGAACACGAAGCTCAGGTTGGTCCCTTTATTTCAGGGATGGGCAACCTTTTGACACTAGCAGGTTTTTAGAGCCAGGGCAGATAGCTGCAACATGGGTGGGCCTTGGATTTAGTAGTTTAGTTGTTTTGTTTTTGTTTCAAATTGTGCTGCACCTATTTTAGGCCTTATATTAGTTTACATTTCAACTCAGAACAGCAGGAAATTATGCTGTCAGTTTTCAGGAATCATAGAGAAGATTCTGCTGGGTGCAAAAAGGAGTTTTTGCGGCGGTTCCTGAAGTTAGCCATCCATGCTTTATACTATTCTGTACTCTTTTTCATACCTTTCCCTAACATTTAGCAGTGACTAATTTCAGGGACATGTATTCCAAAAGGAAGTTTTAAAATATAATACTCATGATACAATTTCCTTTGGATATTTAGGATTAACAGGACATGTTTTAGATTTGGATCACAACTTACTTTTGGTTTCACAGGATGCAGACAGAACTAGTCAAGTAACAAAATGGCTTCACAGTAGCATGTACTAATATGTTGCTAGCTAAGTTTTGCAGTGATTAGATTTATACTTAATTTCAGTTATATTCATAATGGTAAGGAAGGAATGTCTGCCTAACTGCCTTATACCCTTCATTCTAGTGTGATGCTGACCAGTAATTCCTGAAGAAATCTTATTGGGGTATTAAACTTTGTGTGAATTGAATGGCTTCCCTCCCCTCCATACAGGCCTTTGTAGAAAATAATACTGTCATACAGATGTTTTCTGTAGCACATAGAACTTGAGACTTTTTGTCAAATTACCACACTCAGAAAATGAACTCCTACTAACAGCCAGTTGCATACTTTTCCTTCTCTTATGGAACCAGTGCTCCCTGAAAAAGGCAGTTTCTTGATGCATGTTAAGATTCACTCGCCTTTTTGTTGGGTCCCTGTGTTGCATCACTCGATGTATTTTTAGAAAACTATTATACCCTTCTTTTGACAAAAGAGTTATCATAATTTTTTTCTAATTCCATGTGGTAGCTTAATTAAAAAAAGCAATAATAGATTCCCATTACTATGGCTGAAGTACTATATACACATACTTTATTAGTTGTCAGTGCATCATATATACACTGTTATCAATTTAATCTTTGACTTAATGCAAGTTTTGATTGCTTTCTGCTTAATGCTGAACCTATACAGTATTGTTGGGCTACTTTAGCAAAACTAAGCCCTTTAAGAGTTATTAACAAGCTGCTTGCCAGCAGTAAGAAGAGTTGGCTAATATAGTCAGGGAAAGCTTTTGAATGTCTTTGCTTAATCGTGCATGCTTTTGCAATCAGCCACTCTATTTATAATTGTTACCAGCCATACTTTTCTACCATGTCCACTTCTGCCAATAAATTAAGAAGAGGAAAGAGGAATGTAATCATTCTGAACTTCTAGAGGTTCTTGAAGAAAATGTTTTCAAAGATAATACTGACATTAGATCCTCTGTATTAGAGGTGACAACCTTTGGGTGGCCAAGGATTGCAAAGTGGCTGAGCAGAAATTTGAAGGAGGTTGGCTTTTAAACTGATATTTTACTTCTTTTGTGTGTTTTGCACCTCAGAATGACAGAAAATTGCTGTCCATTTTTAGCATCATAAGCAGAGGGAGGCACAAAGTCCTGCAAAAAGGGGAATTTAACATGTGACTCTAGGGCTGCAGACTGTCTACACCTACTCTACATATGCTAAAAGAATTTCCCCTAACATAAAATTCAACCTTTTGTTTCTTATATAGCACTTTCAGAGAAGGGAGAGAGATCTTAATTTGCTTGGGTGGCCCTACTGGCTATTGTGAATTTGAGCCCATGTCTGTCTTCGCACAGCTATAATAAGCTTCTTTGGAATAACAAAAAGCAAACCCTCATGGGGCTACTGATTTTCTTTTGTTAAAATTAATAGGCTCCAACTGCTGCCCTGATGAGAACAGAAGAGACACTGCGTCCTGGGTCCCTGTTCAGGCAACTTGCAGCAGAGGAGGAGGACACAGCAGCACCATCTTTGTTTAAACTTGGCTGGCTCTCAAGCATGACCAAATGATTGAATAAATGTGAACTATGATACACCTGGCCTTGTAATGACAAAGAATGCATAGGGCATATGATTCACAACCCATTTTAACCTGAAGCTAATAGTTTAAGTGTCTTATGCATCTAATCAGATCATCTAAAAATGCAAGATATGCAGCTTAGGCAACTTGAAATAATTAACTGGAAAAAAAAATTTAAACAGCCAGTGTAATTAAGTACATGACAAATGGAAAAGTTCCTCTGTGTGTGTGCGTGCGTGCAATAAGGAAACAATTATTTGTACTCCAGTAATATATTCTCCCATTCTATCATGTGGGAATATTTTTAAGTGGCCTTAACACAAAGATTTAACCTTTTGAAAGAGTAACTTACCATAAAAACATATTCACTATTTATTGAAATTAAAAAAAAAAGACTTATAAAACTAAACACAAATGTTTGAAAGGATTTTACATAAAGCATCAGTTACTAATAAACAGATTGAGAAGTCAGACTGGACTCATTATGCACTCCTATAATACAGAGGTGGATTCTTAGGCTCATTGCGACATGTCAATTCTCCACCCTCAACCAGTCCCCAGAAGAATCCTATAAAAATTACTCCAAAGCTCCCTTTGCATTGCAATAGTGCAGCAAACCACAAGTAAACAACTACCTGTTAACCTGTTATTCCAAATACAGATTGAAAAGGCAACAGGCATTTTGTGCAATTTTAACAATTTTTTTTAAAGTTGAAATATCACACAGTGCTGTCCCCCTTCACAGAAGGCAGAGAGCTGCTAGGCTCATCATGTTGGAGGACGGCCCCTGTTCTGTAAGCTATGGAAGTGTGCCTCCTTCAGGATCTGGTTGATGTGGAAGTAAGGACCTTGGCATAGTGCAGACTGCTCATGGAAAGACTGAGGAGGTGTCACAGGACTTGATCCTGGCATTATCTGGTGTAGGCTGCTCTCTGTCCCAGTAGCTCTGTCAGGACTGCTTATGTTGCTGCTGCTGCTGCTACAGCTGCTGGTGCTGCCACTCTCACTGCTGGAAGACTGTGGAACAAGACATACATAGGAAGGCTAGTCATCATAACTTAATAAAAGTAACTGCTGCCATGTCTTAAGCAGATATTTTGTGGAGAGGGCTCCTGGCACCAAAGCTTGATCATTCTACTCCTATGGGAGAACCTTGCAGTGAGCAAGTTAAGCATCCAGCTCCACCAGTATAAACTTATTTGGAAATGTTCATTTGCTGTATTTTCGGTTCCACTGGAAAAAAAAATGCATTCCCACAAACTCCAAATGTCATATTTATACTTAATTATCATACTTACAACATTCAATAATGTTCTCACAACTGATCTGAGGCTGAAATTCAACAAGCTTAAGCACCAGACAATGTTAAGTATAAAACTGAACTGTGAGTTTTTCTATCTATCAATCACTATCTCCCATTGTAGATATTTGATGAAGCAAAGTACAGTTAATTCCTCAACAGATTAATTGCCCTTGCTACCGTGTTTCTTGAAACGCAATCGGGTATTTTAAAGCTGAATTCAAGTAGTTAAATGTTTAATTATACCTTCACACAAATAGAAACTGTTAAGAGCTGTGCTAAAATAATACATTTCTTAATGGTATAAATTATGTTTAACATCCGAAGCATTCTTCATGCACATACATAATACCAGCTGCCTGGAAGGGAACAGGCACCTCCTTTATAGGCTGAGATGATTCCAGCTGCCTGCCTTGTTCTATTATTCTTGGAGTTTTCCATAACTCTCCTGCTGACTGAGCAACGGCCAAAGGGTAACATCAGAGAAAATCAACGTGAGAGATACTGGCTGGATTTACACATCGCACTGAGCCACAAGGTGACTGACTTTGCTTCACTTGAACAAATTCAGCTAATGAAACGTTACAGATACCGTGTCACTGCTGTTCAGGATATTAGACCTGAATGTGAATATAGTGAAGTTCTGTTATAAATCACTTTGAGAGATACTTTGTGTTATGGAGGAAGATACAATTCAAAAGCATACATATTCAAATTTCACATTTGAAAGAAAGCTTAGGAATCAACACCAAGTGCAAACGGAATATTTCTTTTAATATAATCAAAACTAACAAACAAAAGAATATGCTTGCATCCTAAGTGTGTCACTACACTACATGTTCCTCCTAATTGGTGGGATGTTGATAATTGTGTGTGGGCTTCCAAGTTAATATCTCAAGATCCTAGTTGGAAGAGAACAGTGTAAACATACAGGCTAAAACTAGCTTTCATTTCATGTCTAGTGTGCTAGACAAACTGGTAAAAATTACTGGTATTACCCTTAACATTTTCAGGGAATGATGCATGTGGCATGGATAAGACCAAGGCTGGCAACCTAGAGTACACTGTATCTTATTGGAAAGTGTTATGTGAAAGCTTTGATTGACAAAAGTAATGAAGAATAGCACAGGTCAAATCTGTGGGCAGCAACTGTGATAGGTATTTAAAGCGGAGTAAATTATAAAGAGCCTAAGTTAGCAAAGGTAATGTAACAAAGAAAACTGATACACTGCATATTTGTGAGACTGAGAGAAAGGGTAAGGATGTAACAGATTTGAATGGAGGAGGTTTGATCTTATGGAGTGGAACAGATGAACACAAAGATCGCAAAGAGGGAAGCAAAGATGTAGGTCTGATTATGAATGACTGGGTTAAAATATTTCAGAAAACAAACTGCTGCATACAAAAGAAGCAATTCATAGTTCGGTGACACTTGCATGTTATGTTCCTCTGAATGTTGGTAATGTTACAACAATTGATAGATTTGGGGGGGAAATTCACAACATTCTGAATGAATGTGACCTGGGGTAAAGTTAGTCTGCTACGTCATGTACATGAAATGAGGAAGTATTAGAACAAATAACTGGGCCATTCAGGGATACAAATATATAAGAATGGTTATTCTTGGTGTGTATCCGCTCAGAAAAAGATCTGTTTTGAAAACATCATTAAGCATAAGTCTATTCCTATATACACAGGGCAAGGGGATGAATATAAATCTAAAAGTACGAGTGCTTTGTTTATGATGAACACATGACAGCTAGTAAAAGATTCAAGGGTAACAAGAGTTCTGAATGTGGAACAGACTCTTTTTTGTAGAGTCAACAGCAAACCTTGGGAAACAATGGATATGGAAGAAAACAAAAGCAGTGAATGTTATAACACAACAAATGCAGGAAGAGAAAATACAAATCCAACATGAGAAGTATTAGGAGACAGATTAATCTCCCAACTGAATGACAGAAGAGGGAACATAAGGAAAGATTTGGAAACTGCTTGTAACAGATGGAGGAGGAATATGTTTCAGTGCCAAAGAATAATGTGGAATTACAAGGAAATGAAGTGAATTTTAGATATGTTGCATGATGCAGCAAGGAATACAGATCTGAAAATTAATGTGCTTAATATCAAGTTCTTTGTTGTGTGTTTGACAGGGAAAACAGAGTGAAAAATTGTCAGTTACATACACATGGTGAAAAATTAGACCAAGTAGATTAATTGTGTACATTGGTGAAACATTTACTAATGGAGGGATGATGGAGAAAATGTAAACCAAACAAATATTGGTAGAAAGGCAGTGGGTAGTACACAATCAACTGCAAGGAACGAATATTTGTCAAAAGAAGCAAAAATGATTGTGTATAAGAGCTTATCCTGAAAGGGAACAGCATAACAGAATGTATGTAAAAATATTTTAACTAGAGAAATTATTCACACTCTATGTTAGTGGGACAATACAGATACCAACTGCTAAAGGAAAACGATATTTAAGCAATCTTACCTCTGTATCCCAGGAATCCTGAAAGACAGCATTTCGGCTACCACGTTTGGTTTGTGGGACTGGCCCATCCTCCTCTATGCCATTTCGTCTCCTCTTCCTGAAGCAAAAATTGGAGAGCAATAGACTTAGCTCAGCATACTTTTAGAAGATAACATTACAGCTATTATGTACAGACTGAAATTATTCAATATTTTCTTTTCCATCTGCCCATTGCTACAAAAAAGTCAGTCATTAAACCCAGAAGAGAGCCATACCAAAAGGTGTGATTCATCCTGTAAAGCATCTTTCAATTACCATATTACAGATTAAAAATCATGTACAGATTAATTATCTCTTAAAATTAGAGTTTAAACCTCATACAAACTGCTTAATAATCTCAATGCAATACTTGAAGGATCATCTCAGCAACCATTTTTAAAATAAATCTGAGTATTCTGAATAACTGGCAATGAAAAATAGTTACATTTCTCAGGCTAATAGCTATCAATTAGATTATCAGGATTTATTTTATTTGCCAAAAACCATCAACAGTTCAAGTCAGGTTGTAATACATACATACATACATATTTTAAATCAAAAGCAAGCAGAGACATTCTTTTGAGAAAAACAAGTTCTGTTTTTAAATGAGCATAAGTTCCATATGGATATTCTTTAAGATGTCTATTATCAAAGACAACCAACAAAAGCACATATATATTTCATATAGTATTTCAGAGAGGTTCACAAAACGACACTGTTCATAAACAAATACTCTTAAGATGCTCTGAAAAGATTTAAGCAAGTTGAAAAGCTACACTGAACCCTTTGTTTGGCAGAAAGGGAAAGATATATTATAAAATATTTATATCTTATAAAATAAAATATAAAAATATGTTGATGTTTATCTAATCCTTCAATTTGGGGGTATTTATCTTGTTTATACCATTATTATATGAGATTTTTTTTTAAAGTAAGATACCTGAATTTTGTAAATTCATTTGTTGTCCAATTATGAATGTTAACCCTTACATATTGAGTAGACCCAATGACTTTTTTTTAATTCACTGGGATTTCTCCAAATATGCAACCATGATTATTGTTCTATCAAGCTGTACTAGATCTTATTATCAGACAATGAATCATTAAAGCAGTATATTCTGGCTTGAAACAGACTTGAGATTTTGACAGAAATACATTTACAAGTGGTGCATAAATGGGCTTACTGTACTATTCCAACATATATATCATAGCTGTTCTTGTAAATAACACTGGGGTAGCACAGCAGCTAAATACTATACATTTAGGATTCCATTGCAAGCCTAGGAGTCATATCTCCATTTTTAATCTCAGCTAAGCCATAAATTCACCTGGTGGCTTTAGAAAAATTACAAAGCCCTCCTATATTCAACCTTTTACAAATAATAACTTGTTATTTGTAATAATTCAAGGCCCGTTTGACGAGGCCGTAAAGAATGACTGAGAAGGCTGTTAGAGGTATGAGAAAGTTCAGGATCAAATTTCTACTCAGCCATCAAGTTGACAGAAGGATCTTGGCTCAGTCGCAGTTTCTTGATCTAATCTACCTGCCAGCGTTCTTGCAAAAATATAGAGTATAAACCACCCTAAGCTACTTCAAGAAAAAACAAAATAGAAACATAAAAAAAATAAGCAGTTCAATGAACGACCAAAATGCACAGTACCCTGGATTTCTACAAGGGAGAGACGAAGAGAGGAAAATGCGGGGTGCCTATTTAACCCGTTGGGTCAAATCTCGTCGAAACGAGACGGCCCCATGTTAATCACCAGCCTCTCCCTTCGCGTTTGCACCCCGGTTCTCAGACTCCCCAGCTAGGAGGGCTAAGGCGCCTGCGGCTGCGGATTGGGGGAACTGTGGTTCCAACAGCTGGAGAAGACACCAAGACTTCCGGCCACAACCGCGACTGATGCGAAGCCTCGAAGCAGATCCATGACAATGACAAAACAATCGCCTTCCGCGCCCCCTCCGCTCTCCAGGCCTCCCGGCCCTCGGGCCCTACTCCGAGCTGGTCGCCTTCGCCCTCGGCGTTTCTGCCCGCCTCCCCTCGCTGCGTTCCAAGTTTCCCCTCTGCGGCCACCATATTTTTTGTGCTCGCTCACCTCTGCCTCGCTCCTCGTTCGCTGGGCAGCGGCCCCCGGCAACTCATGGCCGGGGCGGGCC